TCATATTTATTTATTTACCTATCTTATGTTAATAAATAGAACTTTGCAATTTATGCAATTATAATTTGTTTACACTTGTAATGACAACAAGTGTTGTTTACAAATAGGCTTACAAATTAAATTGGCATGCACAAGATGGTTTTAATAATTGTTATCTTAATAATAATATATTATTGTTGAATGAAATTTATTTTTATTATTTCACTTAAAGCGATGTTGCAACAGCGGTGATCTGCTTGTATTTTTAGTAAAGGTAAAAGAAAGGTTATTTACACTAGCAGTATCCACCGCGGATCTACTAAAAAACAAACTCTTTGGCTTTATGTCTTATCTAATAATAATTTCATGACACGCCGACTGCAGCGTCACCTACCGGGTCCATTTGTGAATTCAAACTTAGCAGGGCCACACTAGAATATACACAAAAAAAAATCCATTAAAATCGTCCCTGCCGTTTAGGAGAAGATCAGTAACATACCGACAACAGCGCCACCTACCGGGTCTAATTATATTTTTGATCTGTCCAAGTACCCATTGAAATATACACACAAAATTTCATCCAAATCGATTCAGCCGTTTAGGATGAGTTAGGTGACAAACACACGTACAGAAGAATTATATTACATACTATGAAGTGTTTCAACAAGATATTTATAACACGCTTATAAAATGATAATAAAATTTGATAACTCCATGGTGATCAGATGATGAGATGATCTTTGGCTCCTTCGATCCATTTTGACGAGTCTCATACATTAAAGGGTAAATAGGATGTTTTCTAATTCTATCAGTTCTATTTTTCATTAGACATGCCCCTGTTTATTTGGTTTACAGATACGACTTGACTTTTTCCTCAGTTTGAGAATTGAGCTATTAATAGTGCCAAATATTTGGCATTCGCTTTTACCTAACAATAAGATTATTTCACACATACGAACGAAATGTAAAAAAAATATTTAAATACTTTACGTAAAGTGTATTCTATAAAAAATTTAGAAAATTCACAAATAGAGATGATTAGTATAAGAAATTAAGTTCAAATGCTAATGCTATAGTAATCATAGTTCATAGAAAGTGATTGCTTAATTTTAGATCACGGCGTATAATATATTGATAATAAAATATATTGCGTGTTCTAAGTGTCAGTCGGCGGAATGTGGTAGAACATATGAATGTTGAATTTTAAGAAACGTCCAGCGTTCACACTTCACACTCTGCGAGCGGTACGTGTTCTTCTCAGTAGCAATTATTTCCGCAATCTAGACCACATCCCTCAGACCCTCAACCTCATTTTCTGCCATACCAAGTCGTTTCTATTGCGGTCTCATAAAGTTAAGCTTCTTATATATACAAAAGTATAATAACACTAATATTGTAAATACACATAAACACATTCATACAAAATATTTTGTATGTGTTTGTATGTTACACAGATTACTGCGGACCAACGGATTTGAATGAAATTTGGCATAGAGATAGATTATTTTTTTGTAAACTATTATATTTTATAATCAAACATTCAATACATTACTCTACATTGTAAAAGTTGAAACGTGATGTAGAGATATTCTTTTTACCGTATTTATCTACAATATAACATATAATGTATTCTATTGTACATGAAGTCGCAATAAAATTTTAAACAACATAAAATAATAAATTGTTAAGCCATATGTTTAACACGGCTAAACTACATAGTAAATGGAAACTGTCCGTATCGTGTAATGTTTTTATGTGCGTAGCTTTTTCTGGAGTTTTTCTGTTCATAGCAACGCAACGGTGCGCAATAATTATAGGTCGGCAGTCTCTACACCGCCTACGGGACCTCGCGTGGGTTCAAACTACGCTAATAAATATTTATAAACAGCTAGGTTGGGCAGAAACAATCAATTTAGTGAAGTACTTAGTAAAGAATAAATGTTTCACCTAGTCTAGCTAGAATAAAGTGCCCTGGAAATCGATTTGACATGATGGTACGAAATAGAATGGGAGTAGTAGGTAACTGTGAAACAATTGGATATTTTATAATTCAATCAATTTGGCGATGTATACAAATTTTTTGTAATTTGGCTTAGTATATTGTTGTAAATATAGAACTAAAATATATAATGAATTATTAATTATTAAAGACAATAGTGTGAATATATGTAAATCTGCTGTCATTTTATAAAAGTACGATTGGTCAGTCAGTGGTCAACAAGGGTCAGACATCTGAATGTAAGCAATGAGGACAGACGCAAATTGGAACTTATTTTATTTCAATAATAAATTAATAATTATATTTGAATGTACTATTATTAATAAAATTACTTTCTTTCTTTGTAATATTAATTTAGGATATCAAGTAAGTATGCGATATCTGTTTTTAACCGACTTCCAAAAAGGAGGAGGTTCTCAATTCGTCGGAATCTTTTTTTTATGTATGTTCACCGATTATTCGAATACGCCTGAACCGATTAGGATTTTTTTTGTTTCAAAGGGTATAGGTAGGCTTCCCAGGTGGTCCCATATAAATTTTATCGAAATTGGTCTAGTAGTTTTTTAAAATTTCAACAATAAATATAATTTTTTTAAATAAATTGTTTAATCGAATATGTTATTAAAAAACTTTCTTCTTACAAATTACCTGCTTATTACACAAAAAATTGAACAATAAAACCTTAAAAAAAAAACGACTTCCAGGCACTAAAATGTAAAAAATATCTAAACTGAGGTTTTCATTTAGAATAGATACCTAATTAGATATTTTCGAAGTCGGTGCCAGCCTACAATGTTTTAAGATATGAATATCTAATAGGTAAATATGTATTTTACGTATCGAAATTTATAAGACTTGCTTTGCATCGGCAGGCACCGACTTCGAAAGCTTAGTTATTTTTTACATTATAGTGCCTGGAAGTCGGTTTTTTTTTTATTTTTTAGTATCTACCTAAACTTATCTTGGAAGACATATCGTTGGCCGACTAAGCACAGCACAGATTTGTTAGAAATTAAATTGTAGAGCGGAGACATTGAAGAGATAATGCAAAAAGTAGGTGACACAAATTGTTCATCTTATATCCGCTCATATTTAGCGGACTAAATGTACTGGGGGCGTTTCCCTAATACGCGTTCTATCTTAATCATTTATAGTTTGTTGTGCAAATAAGTTGTGATACTTATCTATACACATAATAAAAATGTAACTGATCGCTGTCTGTTCATGGAAGATATTTGTTTTTTTTTTTAATTGGGGGTCTTTATTAACGCAAACGCAATAGAATCCAAGACAATGATTTTTAGAATTTTTGTCTATTTGTCTGTGCGTTTGTGCGCGCTTATTTCAGAAACGGTTTAACCGATTTGGTTGCGGTTTTCACTAAAATGTATTGTGGTAAGCTTCACTTAACATTTAATATTTGTTTTAGTTTAATCGGTTCATAAATAAAAAAGAAATGTCAATTTAAAGAATCACCTTAGTATAAAAATATAAATTCTATTTTTTTTATTAATTGTTACATATATTCAAAATAAGTTAGGATTAGTTTTTCTGGGTATGTCCGATATTTCGAGGGCGTCATTTTCTCCCAAAGCTATGCATATAGCTACGATGATGTAAAATAAGTAGACAGGATAGGATAAGTAAGATTCTAAGTGTGCGCGCAGACACGAGTGCACACTCTATTCCTGTCACTCTCATAGTCCGGTGAGATGACTACTCGACACGATCGGTGAGAGTTAACGCGCAGGACCGATGATGTAAATAGTATGTTCCCAAAAGGTTTTTAGTAAATTAAAAATGATCCTGTATATATGTTTAACGAAAATAATACATGCATTTACCTGTTGTAAAATCGAACCTTGGAGTAGTAAATAGTAAGACACATGTCGCACAAAGCAGGATGGTTGACAAATAATTACGATATTTTCATAGAATTTGATGTTTATTTACGCGTTTATATGGCTAATTACGGATTTATCGTTTTATGAGTCACTTCTGTTCCTTTACAGTTGTGTGAACCATCCTACTCTATTCATAGTCGTATCCAATAGTTATTGTTAAAATGTTTTTATCTTTCTTAGCTTTTAATTTCTACAGACTATGACGCTCCTTGGTCTGACGACTGTTCGATAGGAACCTACATACCCGTGGCGTTCTATTTTTTATCATTTTATTCGTTACTAGAGTACATTTTCAAAAAGCTCTATTAAATATATGAAATTGAGCTCCATCGAACTCAACATTCAAACAACTCAAATTTAGTGAGTGTCGTGTGTTGTATATGTGTGCTAGATGTACAATACAAGACACTAATTGTTATAAATATCAATTTAGTAAATTTTGACCGTCAGTAAGTTTATTATAATATATTATAATATTAAAAGAACAGAGAAATAATATAGAAGAAAACATATAAAGTGACGGCTACCCTTTCTAATTTGTACTGTATTACATAATACGTAAAAATCTACATTATCTAAACGTGAAATTATAGGTATACTCTAATACGTGGCGCTTAACCCTTTAACTTGATCTACTTATTGGTGAAAAGGGTATTAACTATAGCTTAGAATGAGAGCGCGATAATTGGAAGTGACCGTATGATCCGTTATATTTCCTAAAACACATTCACATTGTAAACAAATGCATTTTATGTGTGTCATCCGACTCATAACATCCTATATAATGGGACAACAAGACCTCACGGATTACACTGGGATTAGCTATCATCGTATCGACTACAAACAATACAATACATACAGAAAACAATGTCTCCAAAAATATTTTATCTGTTTATAGCTATTTTATTCGCTATTGTTGTTCAAAATGACGGAAAACCAGCAGAAGAAAATTCTTCGTCACTAGTGACGGAAGATGAAATGATGGAAACGGCGGAATCGCATCCTTTCTTACCTCGGTTCGCAATGAAAAAACTTAAGGAGAGACGGGAACAGGCACGCGCGCAAAGAAGAAATTACATAGCTCAGAGGAGACAAGGACCATTTGAAAGCCAAGCGAGATGTTAGTTTTGTAAGTATGGTATAATCATTAAGTTATTAAAATTATAACTAGTATTGCCCGCGGCTCCACCCGCGTTTTGACTACCAAAAACCAAATTCTTTTGTTTTTTACTCAGAAATGAGATATTTTCCCGCGGTAAAAAGTATATTGACCCTATATGTTGACCCGGTTAACTAGCTATCACCATGCCAAATTTCATGAAAATCTCTCCAGTGGTTTATCCGTGATGCGGTAACAGACAGACAGACAAAAATTGTAAAAACTATATATTCGGCCTCTATATCAATAATAATGTCTATTTCAATAAGATTTTCCATAAAATATTTAATGTACAGATTCGACTTAGTTACAATTTTATTATATGTATGGATGAATACAAATTAAAAGCGGTGCCAATAAACAATGAAAATCATTTATACCTATACAATGACATTAATTTTTGGCCTACTTTCGGAGATATTGTCATATTTTAGGGTCTAATTATTTATTTCAATACGCATATGTGATACGCTTTAGTCACCTTTCTTTGACCTGGAAATTTATAATATAAGGCGCTTTTAAAATTGAAAACAATGACACTTCCTTCAGAGTTCTCACTAACTTATCTCGTTTCAGAAATCATGAAAAATTACGCAGTTTTATGGATAACGGTAGGGCTAAGTTTTTCCATTGCAACTTCAGCTTCAACCCAAACAATATCCGATAATGACTTCCTGTTGTTAGGAAATAGTGCACCAAGAACTAATGACGAAGCATTGTCAAACAATAGTGAAACGGAACAAAAAAACGACGAAACAAGTGTGAGTATTGAACCGGTTGAACAGGAATTACCGAAATTTGAGGAAACTGTCAATATTGTTATAGAAGACGTCGAGAATCAAGACGAAGTGCTCGATCTAAACGAACCAGCGACTGACAATCCCTTAGCATTGCAAATTCCCGATGTAGATAACTTCGAAGAGGATTTCATTCCAATGAGAGATGAAGATTTCCTTTATAACGACTTGATCCATAAGGACCCAAATGAGATTATGGATACAGCAGCTGGTTTTGTTCCCATCCCGATATTTCGGAAAAAGAAGAAACCTCAGAAACCTCGACAGCCGTTTGCTTCAAGAAGATATTTTAGGAGACCCTATCCCTACCGAAGACTGTACTACTTTTATCCATATTACAGATATTATCCAAGCTCTCTAAGGTTTTATTAAGTTGTAGTATAGTGATGAATAAATAAAGTAAACAACATTTAAGTGGAAAGGTTTCCATTATATTTATTGCTAAATTTTTCTTATATTATGTATAGTAATAGCATGTAAATGCTTCATCGATTTACTGATTTCGGAATTGATACTAGACAAGATTTATTTACAGCTTATGTTATATCTCTAAAATACAATAGAACAAAAAATTTTCTTAATCACATAATTGTATTTTCATGGCAATTGGTCATATTTTTTCTGTGAACACTTATTTCACTTACACTATGATATATTGGATTGATGCTGTGTTAAATCCATGATTTTCCGCGAATATTTTACACTTAATTTTAAAATCATAAACTATTTGCAGTGGTTTAGTTTCTTATTTGTATTATGTTTCTATAACACCGTAATTTATTAACAAGTGTCAGTTAATTATGTAAGTAGTGTTACATGTTTATAAATAAAAAAGGAATTAAGCATGTATACCATAATATCTATATCATAAATAATAAAGTAATTTACAAGGAAATTGTTTCTAATTTTAATTACTTGTACAATAATAAATGTGGCGACACATCATCGGTTACGTAATTAGGTACAATTTCATGATAAACGAGCCAAGCTCTGCCTTTAAATACCATCCAATATCATATAGGTAATTAAATAATTATTGAACACTAAATGTATCTGTAACGAATTTTAAATTAAAATATGAGGAAAAGTAGCTCATTTATATTCAGTTTTTTTTTAATTTCTAAATCAATGTATACTAACGTATACATTTTAATAAGTAATTCGTAGCCACCGATTCTTTATTTTCTGAATCAAACTTGACATAATAAAGAGTCTTATTGATTGTTCAAATCGATAAACATCTACCATCCCTTAAAATTCGTAGTTAGTCTTAATAAATTCCCCAGCACTTTGGTGTATATAAACAACCCCATAACTAAAATACTTATTTTTAAACCTTATATCCATCCATTTAAAGTTACGTATAAATAAATAAGCATTTATATTTGAGAGCATTTACAAAAATTAAATTAGTCTTTTTTGGACTTTCTAAATTGAGTTTTGTGGTTTTATTTATATCTGAAGTCTTATTTTACATGATTTTTTTTATTTACCGGGTCCCACTAAAGCCTCATCCATGAGTTCATCGTCAGTTATGCAAGGCGAGTTGGAATGGGGGGAGGGAGCTACTAAGGGAGAAGGTGCAGGACTTTTGGCTAATTGCAAAAGGGCAGGTGATGCGGGGTATACTGGTCTAACAGCCACCATCCCTGAAACTTTACTGCCAGATGAAGACGAGAAATCTAGTAACATTTCGGCCGCCTCTTGGGGGGTTGTTGCCCCGCTCCTAGCGACTGACCCGCTTGCCGGGGGTTTCATACAAGAATCTGCACCCTTTCTATCTTCAGAACTACCCTTAGGCGCGGGAAACCCCTTGGCCATGTCGGTTTTGTAATCTATTGGCATCATAGGATATGAACCCGAGTAACTTTCCTTCGAATCGTCTTTACTTTTTTGTGGACTTTCTCCTTTCGATATACTATCTGAAAGCGTTTTGGAATATTCCGATGGATCAGATTTGTTCGGTGGCACTGTTTTCGGACTCAATCCGCCCATGTTCAATAAAGGTTTTGGTACGTTTAAGGGATACGCAGATTTTTGCATAGATTCTACACTTCGATTTTGATTGTCAAAGTGAGAAAACCCGTATTTATTCTGATCCATAGATCTGGCGAAATCATTAACCATAGAACGGCTATCATATTGCGATACTGGACTATTTTTGTCGGGCGTATTTTGGTTTTTTAATTTTGGTATTTGAAATTTACTTGTATCGAGAGGCTTGATCAAACCCTCAACAAGAAAATTAGCATCTTTAGCTGTATTTTTAAAACGATCTCCATCTACGTCGTCTCTAGAACTACTCGGACTCGAATGACGTTCGGACTTAGAAGAAAAAATTGACTTTTCCGAATTACTCATAAGCTTGGTCCTTGCTTTCTCGCGCTCTCTGTCTCTTATTATTTTAGCAAGATCGGCACTACTACTTTTAGGGGATCCGGAACTAGATTTAGAGGCTGATTTAGACAAGTTAATACCAGCAGAGTTGCTACTTGATGATTTAGAATAAGGCACTTTAGTGGCGCTGCCGCTATTGCTTAAGTTGGACTGTTCCGAGGGACTCATATTCGCTTTAGGAGGGGTCGAACTAGAAGACATGTTCGCCGATTTCGAAGATTGCAAGACTTGTGTTTTTTTAGAAGCAGGCCCACTGATCACGCCTGGTTTCAAGCCAGTATGTGTTTTAGGAGAGCCTTGGCTCGGTGGGGTTAGTTGAGGCGAAGATTGCTTACTAGAACTTGAGCTGGAGTAGTTTAACTTAGAACTACTGCTAGATGACTCTTTTGATCTAGTTTTATTTATGGTTATTTTCATACCATCTAAGCTAGGTTTAACCATGTACTCTTGATTTTTACTTTCACTTAGCTTTAAACTACTGCTAGTAGCACTATTTTTAGGATCTGAAAATTTTGCGCTACTCGAGGAACTAGGTTTTACAGTGATTTCGGAGTCAGTCCCGCAGTGTTGAGCAGATTTCAGCTTATCGATTACGGCACTAAGAGAACCTTTTCTATTACGAGCTTGGCTTGGGGCATTGGACTTGTTCACTTCGATATTCGGCGGAGATATTAATGGCTCAGTCACAGGACTGTCACACGTAACTGGAGTAATTTCTAATTGTTTGAGCTTCATCGGGTTTTTTAACTTGGGACTACTCCTATCTGAACTGGAAAAAGACAAACTGGAATGTTTCTTTTCTTTATCTCTAGAAGTCATGGAGCTTGAACTATAGCTTTCTTTTGAGATCTTTTTAGATAGATCATACCCTGTTGTACCAGATTTTCCGGAAGGGGAACCACTAGTTGCTGATTTGAGTGTGGACATACTCGGCTTTCCCGAACCGGATGAACTATGTTTCGGTGAAGAAATACTGTGGTTTTTTGGACTCGAATAGCCAGGTAGATGCTTGGGGCTGTTTTGTACTGGCGAGTGTCTTGGACTGCTGTGATGGCTAGACGTCCCTGACGGCTTCCCCAAGCCCTTAACACTGCTAGGACTGGGCGATTTAGTTATAGACACTGACCTACCATGCGTTGGGCTGGGACTAAATTTTCTTAGAATAGAGTTTGGGGAAGTAGGACGCATGGGAGAACCGTCTGTTGGCTTAATACTTACTGATACTGGTTTAGTTAAAGGATCCTGTTTGGGAGGGATTTTTTCAGGCGGCCCCATGGAGTCGTCTCTACGACGCTTTTTCTTCTTTTCTTTGCTGCGTTCTTCAGACTTACTGGACTTTTTATCGGATCTAATACGATCGTCTAGTGATTTTATTTGTGAAGATGTTATTGGTGTTATTGTTATTGAGCTCGGTAAAGCTGCTGGCGTTGCAGCTGTTATTGGGATTATTTCTATCCCGGGTCGTCGGTCAAGACATATCATGGACGATATATTAGAACCAGATCCGGAACTCGGTGGGCCTGACGAAGTGGTTCCGATGGGAGTAATACTGACCGACGACGGCATGTAAGACTTTCCGTCAGTGAGATCTAGAAGCAGCGATGATGTGCTTCTAGCGCTACGAGATTCTTCTTTACTTTTCAGTTTTTGCCTTTTGTGCTCAGACTTGTGAAAAGGATTCCTGGAACACATTATTATATTATACGTCACAACCGCTAAGAATATTACATATGAAATTAATTGTTAGTATTTTAGTATGACAATTAAAAAAAAATTAAAAAGAAAGACAATTATTCTATATACATTACACCTGTCACTCTTTTTCCGGGCAAAATATATTTTTTAAATCATAAAACATATCAAACAGGACCCAGGGGGAAAAAATCAATTTAAAATAACTTTAATTAAAAATAGCATGGAGCAAATTTTTGGTGACAACCCCTCTGGGTCGTGTTATAATATTTACAAAATATTTTGCCTGGAAAAAGAGTAAGAGGTCCATCGAGTATTAAATAATATGACCAATACAATAGTGTGTATGCATAAGTATTTACTTATGCGTCAATCTTTTCGTAGATGTCTAACAAACTGAGCTTAAGAGAGACATGATTATAATACTTAGTCTAACAGATTAAGATATACAGAGTGGTCTATAACAAAAACTGAAGCTAAGTGATGAGTTTATAACTTTTTTGGTTTGAACTACTGCTTGATGGGCGCGTCTATCTTATTCTTTTAGTCTGAGATATAATATACGTAAATGTATGATGCATTTTAGTGTAATATAACTCTTATACTTAAATATACATAATTATAAATTTGACATTAAAGAATACAAAAATAAAAGTGTACATACCTGATCATATCTTCTACATCTCCATCGTTGGAATTGTCCATATCGGACGACGTCCTGTTGTCTTGACTCCCGAGAGCGTCAGTCGCGTCCATTCCAGAAAGTTCTAAGTCTGAAGCGAATTCATTTTGAGATACCGACGATTCTCGACCTTCTATATCGTCGTTGGTTGAATTACTATTCATAGTGTTCTCATCATTACCGTAGTTATCGGAATTGTCGCTCTCACTATCCGAGTCCATCATGTCGTTCATCCCCGGTTTGCCCTTTTTTTGATTCGTCGGCCACATTGCTTCAGCTTTGCGCTTTTTTGCTTTTCTATCGTCCGACATTTGAGGTTTTGATTCATTTGTATTAGAATCTTGGCACATCATTGATAAATGATGCTGCTGCTCAGACAGATATGTACCTGACGGTTAGGAAATAATAGTGGTTTAGGTTACTTAACTGTTATTAGAATAAATAATTGCCATGACACACCATGGCGAGTACATAATTCGCACTGCTTATTCGTAATATGTAAATTCGATTTTGTAACTTAGAAAATATTTATTCATAAAATACATACATATTTCCCAAATATGTTTTTATTGTACATAAGTCGATGACTCACAGACCACAGTTAGGCTCCAGAGCCGACTAGCTACTATTTATGTCTTTGACGTTTTGGCGGACTTTATCTATATAATTGTTTAGTCTGTGTACAGTGTGTGGTAGCGATGGGCGATTGTTGCAAAAAAAAAACAATCGACTGAATCGAAAATTGTGCTATTGCGCATTTGAATATCGATTTAGTAGTTCCTCACCATGATTATTCGAATAACAATCGACAAACTACTAACTATACGCAAGACGCATATGTATGTGTGTGCGGTGAGCTGCGTGCGAGATGGTGTTACGTCGATGGTTTTTAATTATTACTTCAATTTGTTTACGTACGAGTATAGTAATATAGGTGCGCTGCGCTACAATTTAGTAATTAAAGTTAACACGAAAACCGTCAGTCATTATCGCCCGCCTCACGCCGTTAGTCGATAAGAATCGAATAACATCGATTGTTATCGACTTTTGTCGACTAAACTGAACAAACAACTAATTCAATTATAGTCTTTTTCGATTGTAGTTTTCCAATCTCAGAGACAAAACTGACATTACGTGGGTTGCCAGTTTTTTGCAATTCTTAAATAGTGATGTGCCACTATCGAAAATTATCGTTAATAAAACTCAAATATCGTTTTTTATAATAAGTTCATTTATTTTATAATAAGTTATCTTAAAATAATGTACTTATTTAAAACGTAATAATACAAAATTAATGATGCAAATTTAAATTTAATAATGGATTTTATGATACTTAATGATTTAAAATTAATAAATATGATATTTCGAAATTTAGAATTAATAATGTGAATTTTAATGATACACTTTAAAATATAAAACTTTGAAGCGAATCGTCTGATAAAGATAAAAAGTTACGATTCCACAAATCGGTATCGTAGGTACAACACTGCACAAAAGAGCTGGCAGCACTATTTGTAAATTTGACATTTGCATGTGTCAATTTAGTCTCTGGGAATAAAAAACAGACTATAGTTTTAGTAATAATCGCCCATCGCTAGTGTGTGGGGGTACAATAAAGCAAGACATACCCCCCTGGTGCGGATGGCTGACGTTGGCGGGGTACAGGCGGTGCGCGGCGCCGGGCTCGTGCTTCACGTCGCCCCCGGGGTCGATGCCCCCCAGGCCACAGCTAAAATTTGACTCCAGAGCCGAGTAGCTGCCGTTTATCTGCTTTGTTGCCGCTTCACGCTCCCATATTTTAACGAGCGATCTGAAAATATAATGATTTAATATTTAAGTATCAATATAGTGTGATTTTGTGTGTGTGTGTGTGTTTATTACTTTGTCATGATGATGAAATCAGCTGAAACGGATTTGGATGAAATCTCGAGTAACATGTAGAGACTCACTGAAAGAGGTAAGTCGCTAGTGTTTGAAAAAAACGTCAAGCAAAATCTCTATTATTAAATAATAAATATACATTTTACTGGGCAAAACATATCCATTATATATATATATATATATTCCCACCGTAAATCTCGTCTAAACGGAACATTGACTAAAAAATGACTAAACAAAACACATATTAATCCAACATACCTAAGCGTTATAGGTATAGAGTGGCTTTTCTGCAGTACTTTGGTTATATAATCATCTATATGTTCCCTGGGCGGTGAGTTAAGGGTGTAGACTGCGGCGCGCGGCGCGGCCGGGTCGGTGAGGTCCAGCTCCACGGTCGCCATGCTCTCGTCCAACGGGTGCTCCAGGAATATGGAGATGTGTTGCCAGGAGAGCGCGCTCACTTCGAACATTAGCACGCTTTCTAGCTCCATTACTGTTGAAAAGCATTAATTTATTAGATTAAATAGTATTACATTAGATGAATTATTATTTTTGCCCTTGCACTTGGGTGCGTCCACAGTTGTTTAGCAGTAGCTTATATGTTTGTCCTGGTATTAATTAGTCTATCTGTATATTTTTCATCCTAATATGATCATCTGTCTCAATGTGAAGAAGTAACAAACATATGCAAACTTTTGTAATTATAATAGTATTCCGACAACAGATTAAATATCGTATCATTTGTTATTCTGGGGTAAAATGGAGCAAGGGATCAATTTCGTTATTTGAATAGTAGACTATTTTTTATAAGAGAACATCTAGTGAGAAGTCGCAAATTCGAGAGCTAAGTCGAGTCGAGTCGGTTCTGAGTTGCCATGATGTTATTTAATATTAGCGGTAGTATTCTTCATTTTTTTAGGATTCCATACCGAAGGGTACCAACTGGACCCCATTACTAAGATTCTGCTGTCCGTCCGTCTGTCTGTCAGCGGGCTGTATCTATATCAGCACATAATACGCGCAGACGACGCACACACACATCGCCCGTGCGTACCCACCCTGCTTCGCCTGCAGACGCACGCAGCTGGCCACGAGCGCGTTGAAGAGCGCCTGCTGGCGCAGCGCGGCCAGCAGCGGCGGCACGTGCGACGAGTGCGTGAAGGGCACGCTGCCCACCACGCAGCCCTCCAGCCCGCGCGTCTCGCACAGAAAGTAGCACTGCCACTGCTCTGGTAAGTTCTACAACGACACAACTTCCATTATTGTTATTATAATAACAGTAATTCTGATTAATCATATTTTTTGTCCAGAAAGGTTGTAATAGTGTTGCTTATTATTTTAACTTTAAATAATAGCAATCTAAATTAATAATTTAACTTCTTTTAAATTACATATTAAACAATAATATTGCTAAAATAAATAATAAATATTTTTAAACACTTTTTATTATTGTTTATGGTATTAGTTAGACCAGAGTCGATATATAATTTTTGAAACCAAAAAAATAATAGTAGGATGAAACCCATTGAAAAGGAAGAGAATATAACAAAAATGAAAGGATAAATAATTTACGGGCGATCTGAGTCGGGAAGTGGAAGGGGGTGAGTTAAGGGTAAAAAACAGTTTAACTCGATTTCCGACAAAAATTTTATGTCCCAAGCATACTGCATTTTTTTTTCATTTAAAATATTTATTTTTTCACCTTATTTTGACTTAATATCGAAAAAGCACCCTTATTTTCAATCGAAAATTCTCGCGTCAAAATATCTGCTTTTTTTAAAAAATCGGTGGGCTTTTTGTTCGTCGAAATCTCTACTTTCTGATGGTATGTATTCGTTTATTTACCACAAAGAGTCCTTTGCTGAGATTCAACTCGACGATCTTGCCGGGCGCCAGCTTGTTGTACGCCTGTTGCGCCACTAAACCTAACATGGGCTTAGCATTTGCCCAATCTCCTGCTACCTCCACCTAGAAAAAGTTTTATTTTTTTAAACTAGGTACTAAATTTTATCCGTAACTCCACTCCGCTGAGCTAAGTGGATCATAATTACACCCTCGTTAAATAGATAAAAATAATTATTGTGAGAGTATAGAGGACCTTTCTGTAGGTCTTTTTAAGAACTTTTTTTTTACACCATTTTAATTGTTAGCCATCTAAGCGTGCGAAAACAGTTGTTTTGACAAAAAACTGTCATAATTCAGCAATTTTGTACAAAAAGTTACAAATTATATACATAAACCTTTAAAGAATATTAAAAAATAAGTTTATGTACAGGAAAATTTCATTTTGATACAATTTTATTACATATATAGATGTAGATGTATCATATTAATTCTCACCTCTGTAGTAGCATGAATAAGTTTAGCAAGTCCAGCACAGAGTGGCGTTGGTTGGGACAGTTTTAGGGTGAAGCAAGCGGGTAGCATTGCACTATTTTGTGGTACCAACTTTGCATATATCGGACCACTTCTGGAACAAAGTGTGTATGTTACGAATCTTCCTCTTTTTTAGTGTTTTTAACAATAGTACGTAATAAAAAAATGAATATAATAAATATTTCAGTTTAAATAAAAAGATTAATTATATAATATTGATTTAGCAAACAATATATAATAAATATCTGATTCCAATTTATTACATCCTAATGTGTATAAATAAATGTAATATGAAATATCTGTTGTTTATGTTAATAATTTTATTAATAAATTTTAAATATGTAAAAGATTGTTTAAATTAAAAATAAAACAAATATAAAAAAACTCATTAAGTATCAGTAACTTTACCTGGCTTTACAATTTACTATTCATATAACATGTTATATGACATACCCTTTCGCACCACGCTGTCCAGATATAATAGGCGACAACTGCAGCTTATTAGCTGTAGATCCTTCTAGAAGCACTGTTGCAGAGTGTCCTATTGGAGTATGGGAGGGGGCCACCAACGATGCTAGACCACTGGAGGCAGATGGCTTACCCATAGTCAGTAGTTCCACTGTTAGGGGTTGCAAGCCCTTATCTTTATCTAGTAGTTCATATGGCGACACGAAATATGTGAGGCGCATAGCATGACCTGTAATATATATATTTTATACTATAGAACATTTAATTACAAGCTTTTTAAAATGGCTTATTGTATAGGTATAGGTAACACTGTATGTGCAATGCAAGTATCATAATTGCTAACTTTCGTTTTCTAGGAATTGCCATACACCATTGTAGTAGTTATTCAGAAAAATGAACAAATCTGTATAATAAATATTATAAATGTGAAAGTTTGTAAGTATGTATGGATGTTTATTACTCTAACACATAGGCTACTTTTTATCCCAGAAAAATATATGGTTAACGAGGGATAGATTTGTAATTCGGGTCTAGCCTGTGGCCAAATATGGTTGTTGAGTTTTTGTTTTAAGAAATTCTTTGGAGAAGTGGAGTAAGATGAAAGCAGCTTCTTGTGCTTGGAGAACAATGGGACACAATATGTGCCTTGGAGAGATCATAAATATCTTGTGCACATAGCTAGTCTTAGTAAGATAGGCTGAAGTAAAGAATATAGTATTAATTTTATTATTCATATTTTATTCTCAAAATTGTATATTAATTTAAGTAATACATATAATATAAAATTTTCCTCATTCTTTACAGAAAGTAAATGATTTGAATGGCTACACAAACATGTTACTACATTTGACTTTGGCATTTATTTTGGTGTACTTTGTCTACATAATTCTCTAGTCCGAGTTCTTTACATACCTCCTCTTCTCTTCTGTAGAAAGCCTATAGGACTTTTATGTACTTGAGCCCAAGGGTCTTTTATCATGCTTTGTAATTGACGTAATGTACACAGATCTTCTTCTAGGCTTTGAAGTGCACTAAATGCCTTACATTTGACCTATAAATTTGATATAAAATATTATTAAATAAAATGTATATCAAATAGCATCAATTACATAGTTCTTTTAAGTATTTTTTTAACCCAAATAACATATTACTCACTTTTTTTTCTGCATTTAATTGATATACAGCAGTAAGTCCTTCTAGTTGGGCTGTAAAATCAGCAAAATCTCCACGTGATATACACTGTACAAGTTCCTCACAACTTTGTTGTTCTATCTAAAAGTAAAGTATTCATTAATTTATATTTGTAATCTAGAATATATATTGAGTCACAAATAAATATGTTTATTTTTCTTAAAAATTAAGCCTTTGGCTTAATTTCTATAGTGATAAAAGGCAGAACTATTTATTACCTTGCCTTCATGATGAATTTTCACATCTTTAACTGAACCTGAAGATTCAACTAATATTTCCAAATAAAACATATCTGAAGATATAAATAAATTTACACCAGATGTTCCTACTACAAATTTTAGTCTGAAAAATTAAATAATATGTTAATAATATATTTCGATACCTTATAATTGTTTTTAAAAATACAATATAAATAAATAGGTATTCATAAAATAACATTTTTTAATAAGTTAAATAGAATTTTCAAAAAGAGTGTATACTTCATCATTTCATTCATGTGTGTCCTAATATTAGTCAAGAAGTTAGCTAATTTGATTGGTAATAATTGAATTTTACTCAGAATTTCTATGATATATTTTTATGTTCATAACATACCCAAGTTGTCTGGATAGACACTCTAGCCTTTCAATAAGACTCTGTAATGAGCTCACTTTTATACAATGTTGTAAGCTATCGAGACATTTTTGTAAGATCATATGATCAGCACTGTCTACTGCCCATCTTTTGTCCTGTAAATGAAAATGATTTAATTTTATATAATAAGAGTCATATGGTAATAAATATATGGTATTAAAAAATCACTTATTATAATAAATATTTCTAAATATAGTGTTATTTGAAATTTCTTTGATTATTTTAATATGAACACTGTTTACAATTTAAATATATCATTTTTTGGTACACATTATAAAACTAACCAGCATTGCCATTCGAACAGCTTTAGAAGTTTCACTTAAATTTTTGTACTGTGACGTTTTGGATCTTAGCTTTTCCATGAGTATTTCTTTTTGAAGCTCTTCAGATTTATCCACTGTCCCATTTGCAGAAGCCATGACTAAAGCTTTATTATCCGTCATTTTTACAACCAATTTATCTAATTTAATAACAAACACAAAACTGATAACACAACTTCTAGGTAATACGATCACTTAGTTTTCTTTATTTACCAATAATTTGTTATGTAATAGTAACTATAATACACTAATCACATTTTAAATCGTTTTTTTTATAAAGAAATTGAGATTTAATTATTATTTTCTTCAAACAATTTCCTAATCCCCTTACTGTTGCGCTCGAGTAATGAAACCAGGGGGGGGACACTCAAGTCATTGCTAATTTTTGTAAAGAAAGTTGCGCCATCTACTTTTCCTAACTGGTAAAAATGCTCAGTGTCTCATTAACTTGCCGATAGATGTCGCTTGAATAATATTCGATCTTGTACTAATTATAATTAATACCATATTAATTAAATAGATAATTAAAGACTTAAGATTATTATTTTATATACAAAAATATTTTATAAAATAAAAAAAAAACTATCAATACTTGTTCCAAATGGCAATTTTAATATTTTTACAAGCAATACCTAATATTCCTATTATGGCAATACTAGTAAGTGGTAACGACAAAATTCAAATTTCCAATTACATTTTTTGGCCATTTTTTGTGTATTTTTCGTTTTTGTAGCATTTCTTATTCATCAGACGTTAAGTCGAGATTACTCCTCCGTCCTGATACCAAGATTATTACCAAAACACACAATTTTATTGTGTCTGCTACAGTGTGACGAATTATCGTACATACTTCGTAGTTTAGTGATATTTCGCGATAAGGACGGTTTTCTGTGGTGTGTGAGTTATAAAAAGCAACACGATGCCTCATCGCTGCGCTTTTGGATGTAAAAACACCAACAGTGGTAAGTATATACTCATTTCATAACGAATTCATGCCCGCGGTACTACTCAAAAGGTGTTTGCTTGCCGGCACTTCTAATCATAAAAAGTAAAGACAAAAATATAAAATAACCAGCAATGTATAGATTTGAATAATGTATAAAATATTTTTTATTCTAAAATACAGAGCTTTGTTTAAAAGCAATGTTTGAAATAGACATGTAATAATATGTAATTACTGGTAGTACATTAAATTTTAGTAAAACTTATTACTTTCAGGTGTGGTGATGCATATGTTTCCAAATCCAAAAAGATTTCCTGAGCACTTCCATGCATGGGTAAATATTCTCGGAGGAAAGTTTGAAAGATTATCAGATCATGAAATCTACTTAAGAAAGAGGATTTGTGATATACATTTCACTGATGCACATAGAAATCGGTATAAGCGCCTCAATGCATTAGCAATGCCAACATTGTATCTACCAGGTATGTTATAAATATATATTATTTGCATTATTCTTCATCCATTCTTTGTTGGAAATGTTAACTGCTTTAATATTAATGAAATAGAGAAAACATAGACTATAGGTCTGACTGACTGACTGTTAGGTCCTCCTTTGTACATAAGATCTTGAGTTAAACAAAATCTGTGTTGGGGATTCAAATATTTATAATGAAATTTTTATAGTCGAATAGTATAAATATTTCTATTTTTTTAGGTAACATTGGCAAAATCACCTACCTGCTACATCTAAATTTACAATTTTACAAACTTAAATAAAAAATTCTATTTTTTATATCAAAAAAAATTGTTGATTTGTTTGTTTGTTTTTCTTTGTCCTGCTTTCATGCAGCCTGGGATAGACTTGATTTTTCTTATCTGTAGTTAAAACCAGAAGTTACCAGAGAGCTTTTACTCCCATGAGAACATTTTCTTGTGGCTGGCTGGCACTGGCACTGGCAATAACTAGTAAAACAAAAGTTTTGTTACTACTTATTTATTGACTTAACAATTTTATACTTTTCAGCTGTGCCGCTTAACTATCAATGCATGCAGATGAAACCACTTCATTACAAGATGAAAATCATGTGTAAGAAGATATGTTGTTTGCGAAAAAAAGTACAATGTTTTAATGTTTTTTTATTTTGTTAGTTGATAATCTGTTTAATTCATTAAATGTTAGCAGTTTAACTGTTCAAAATGGTAAAAATTATAAAGGGCCTATTAAACGCAATTCACCTCATCATCAATTATGGCAAAAAGCTAAAGAAATATAAAAAACCACAAAATATATTAAGAAAGTTAGATTTGGAGATAAAACATGATTGACAGAAACTATTGCACCATCTATAACAAATTTAATTAAAACTTTAGAGGGTATAGAATCTCTTTGGAAGTTATTGTCTAGAAAATATGGCATTGATGCAATGTTGAAAAAAAATTTCAACCAAGACCCTATAGAAAACTTTGGTGTTAGAAACATTGCTCCAAATACTGTCTCATTTGAGGGGGCCTTCAAGGCTTTGATGATAAATAATTATAGTGAGCCCCATTCAAGTGGAGCAAATTGTGAAGAAGATCACAATGAGTGTCTTCAAAGTTTGGACTTCTTCCTTAAAGATAAGAACATAATAACTCTTGATATCCCTGATACTAATGATACTATTCATTTTAACAGTGAAATTTGCTTTGACCAATCCAATGAAATTAACGCTGGTCAAACCAATTATGTCTGCAGATGGGTTTTAAAGAGATGCCTTAAATTTATAATAAAAGGTTGTCAACATTGCAAACAAACATTGTTTGAAAATGATATATCAAATGACAATAATTCATATATCTATGCCAAAGAGTACATGAATAAAAAATGGCTGTGCTATCCTAATAAAGAAGTGGAATCGTATTTCAAAGAAATCCAGGATATGACCACTTCTTTTTTTTTTTAAATGTACCCAAAATAGGTTTGAAGAAAAGTATTGTTTTGTTTCTGGACATGCTATCTGATTGTCCTTTTAAGTGTGTTGAACATAAAAATAAATTAAAAACATATTTTATAAATATGACAATCAATGTTTTAGTTTATAGTTGGTGCAGAAGTGTCAATCGTATTTTGAGCGGCAAATTAACTGTTAAAGATGAAGATGATGAGGTCAAAATTGCAGCCCAAAATTATTTTAATAAGCACAAGAATTATAAAAATAGAAAATGACCTTTTAAATAAAATTCTCTTTTCGAAAACGTAAAATAAATTCATCAAAATATATTGTAAGGTACTTTGGTGCCATTTTTATATTTTTGAATTCAGTAATTTTGTGGATAGTCACTGTAACAAGTATATCTTTGAGATGTCTAAAATCTTAGAGTAAAGCATTCAAAAAGTCTAGAAACCAAAAATCAAAATAAATCCGCGAAGAATCCGAAAAAATGTCTTATTTAAAATGTAAAATATTCGCGTAAATCTAAGAAAGTATAAAAATTGAGATGAAATTATTACATATAAGAATTATTGTTCAATAAAAATTATTCTGTAATAAATAAAATAATGATATGATTACTCAATAAATGATTACTCTTGCAGTTATTGTTTTTTCTTTGTTGGAACACTAGTATAGCACTACTAATAAATCAATGGTAAAATAAATAGATATAGGTAGCTATATAGCTACCTATATATAGCATTAGTTTTGGTTAGGAAATGCAGATGGCGTTTCAAATTGATTTGCATAAAAAATCCTCAAGAGGGCACTCTTTTCCCAGTTTATAACTATACTCTTTGAATGAAACTGTCAGATTGTCACTTGAGTCAAAAGCGATGCCATTTGCTATTATACTGCTAAGTTGTGACGTATATTTTTTGTCTAATGGCGCTAGTGTGTCATATGTAGATAATACCCAATATTTAAATCTTTCCTACAGAAAGAATACATTCTTGAATAGGTCGAACAATTTTACCCGAATGCCAACGACTAAACGTTTAGAAATATTTTTAGCGTTTAGCATTATAAAGTTAGAATGATTGTTTAATAGAATTCAGAAATAAATAAAAATCAGGCAAAGCAAGAGTCTAATTAACCCATCGATGGTTCCGTAGCGTGAAATAATTATTAATAAAGGTAGGTTACGTTTTAATATAATATTATATTTAAATTATATTAATATAATATAAATAGAATATTAAAAATTAAACAAATATTATAATCAGTCATACAGAATTTTTATGTTGACGTAACCTATATATTTCTAAGAGAAATAGTAAATTATACACAATATAACCACAAAAACCACTCAACATCAGCATTCCGCACGCTTATGAGGACTTAATATTTTTTCACCCCTCGGTTTATTTATAGTGTCATTCTTATTTTTTTATAATTTGTGGAGTCACTATTGCATAATATGTATATGAGACAACCATCAAACAAATTTCAGCAAAATAGTTTTAACAGCCATCAAGTAAAACGGTTATGACATACAGACAGACGAACAGACGTAACCATGACAAAATTATAAGGGATTTTTACTTTTGGCTACGGAATCGTTAAAGTTGGTCAGAAAATTGGACTATGACAATTTCATCTTGTACTAATGCGGAACTTTTAATTCTATGTGTAGTCTCTCACTAATTCGGACTAAACTTCTGACTTCTTCTGTGTTTGAGTGGACGATAGATGGCATTGATTCATGAACAGTCGAATGCATATTTAATTTTATAAATATGAATACATATACTAAAATATGCTGAATATAGTGAAATTCAACTGCATTTAATTCAACAAATATGCATTTTTAACACATATTAAAGAGACATCTGTAAATCTGCACTACAAACCTATTTCCTACAAAACATTACACTTTTTCAGATCTATTTTTCTTTTGTTAATTAATTCTAAACAAACTTCATTTATAAATGGTTTCAAAAATCGATTATGTAATATCGATAATTCATTCTATTGAAATATATTTAAACATTTTTTTTTTATTTCTGATGAGACTGCATGGTAATATACAAATGCGAGTATATAATATGTATAAGCAAGCGCAGCTTACCAAATTATATATTATGTTACATTATAAATATTACATCTCATTTTATAAAGATTCTATTTTCCCTAGGTGGGGCTCTGCCCTGCCAGAGAGCGCCCACAGTGCGTAGCCATGCTGGTCGGTCTTGAGTTTCGCGCTT